AAATTGGCAAACTCTGTCAATGTACCATCAACCAACCAAAGCACGCGCAGTCGAATTTAGCATGTGATTGGGCCCGGCGACGTTACAATCGGCCAATCGGTTTTGAGCATGACATGCGAATGACATTCAGTAAGTGAATGTTCTGTTCAGTGTAAGTTGACGTTTGTGCCAAAGAATATTGCATAAAGTGGTGCAACAGTTTGTGATACAGAAGAGCCAGACTGCAGTTTGATTGGTTAAAAGCAAAGTGACGTTTCAGAATGAAAACCTAACAACTCAAAAAACATTGAGTAACCGGTTGTTGATATCTCCAAAGGGTGGTTATTGTGAATACGCCATATAGACTATCAAGGTACATTTTAGACCTTATTTGTTGCCATGTGTTTACAGGCATAATTGCCGACCAAATTTCGGAACATAAAAGTCAATAATGCTGGCTTCAGATCAACCATTAATATGGAACTAATATTTGTCGAAGAAAGATGGAACAATTAGTTTGTCTAAGGGTGAAGTGGCAGCAGAATTTTTCGCAGGGATGACGGTCCACGTGTAAACATAACTATAAGTGCTGCCTTATCATTCACGGAGGATTTGTTTGATTCCAATCTCATTTTATTAACTATTCATACTAGAACTAAGCTCACATATAGGTCTTCATTTAGTGGCATGCTCAATGATTACAGCGGCCTACAACGATTCTGTTAAAAATCCAACATTTATTCATCAATTCTACGGGTCTTTATCGAAACGGGTGCAACAATGAGGGTTTGGACGTATGCTCCGGCTCCATTTGTCATACCGGCAAATGAGCTCTGCTTAATTTGCCATCGAATAAGAAGTGCTTATCCTACGGAGGTTGTTTAAACTACACATTCGTCGTCAAAGCAAAAATGACTTTGCCGCGCAAAGAACTCATCTTATCTTCCATGGAAAAGAATTCCTGACAGAACTGTTCCCTTCAGGTCAGTCCCGTAAACACAGGCATCAAGTTCTATCATATTGATGGCCCTTTGTAAATGCACTGCACTTTCAGTGGAATACTGTGTATGACAACATTGCAGGACACACTCAATATCTAAGTTTACAAGACTTCACATCTGAATGCCCAAACTCTCGATTTAATACCGACATGGTATTTATGAAAACGTGTAAACAAATGTAAAAAGAAATCTTGTTAAGCATATACCATGTGGAAAAATAGCCTTTGTACAATATAGTTTCCGCTTCTGCGTATTTTACGAACGGAACAGACGAAGGTTCAAAAGGTTTCAGAAAAAAAAATTAGCATATATTCCGCCTTGTCGTTTTTCCATTAGACGTATTAGAGCGGTGCGTGACAGCAATCAAATCTGGTATAAAATACTCTAATAGATAGAAAAAAGTAACGTTTGCTTCTCTCACCAACAGTGTTTATGTAAATAGCTGACACTTTTCAGGTTTTACTATTTTTCTCTTGAGTTGTCCTTGAAAAAAATGTAACTTGCACAAATATTCTTCGGTTGCATATCAGAATAAAGGGATTTACAAAAAATGTTAAATATTATGGACAGTTTTTTTCAATTAATCTTAGTCTTAGCAATATTAAACTTTGGCCGCGGACGTTATTTTTGCTCGAAAAAATGTTTACATTTATTTGTTTTGTCCACAGCTCGTACTTCATGCGTGCAGATCTTGAGTATTACTAAGAAAAGTATATTTTTTTCTGAGCAAGCAGTTAATTTCAACTTACCATTCTGGCGCAACAAATTTTACTTAAGTCTATGTTTTTGCTTCCTCTAACTTATTTATACTTATGTTCAGTTTTCAGTAAATTTTTCCGTTAATTATTATGTTGAAAATTTTTTTAGTTTGAGATCGTTTTTACTTAAGTCATTTAAGCTTAATGCCCTTTACGTTTTTATTAAGTTGATTTTAGATTTGATTAGCAATTTTTTTAATTTAATTATTTTCAAATATTCGCATAATTACACATTTTATTTATGGCACGTTGTTTTGTTGAAACTAACCGAAAGACTCAGGGCAACTAACATCTGCAGTCGTCTACAGGATCTGTTGCAGTTGCGGACAAAGTAACTATGTCAGATACACTGGCTGAAATCTCAAGAAGTGAGCTGCCAAACACGCGGCAGGTGTGCGGTGAAATGATGCCAATTCGAGATTCTACCACGCATTCAAATCTGATGAGGCCGAAAATCTCGCTAGATGTGACAATCGGGTGAATTCACGGGCTCCAAATTCATAAGCAAGTGCACCGAGTTGCCCAATCCATATTCGCTGCTGAGATTCAATTTGGCGACAGCAAGTCACCACTTGGGGAACGGACAGAGCACCACGTCATTTTACGCCAACCCCAGAAGGCCAGATGACCAATCAATTATTACGCCCCAGTGCGCCACGCCTGGCGAAAGTTCAGCAGATCAGAGCCCGCATGTCGTTAAACAAAACGTCAACGCGTAAAAAGGCACTTACGTAAATTGTCCTTGTATGTTTGCAGACATGCCTATATCTTATAAATACGGCATACTCCTGTTCGCATGATCCCCATATCTGCTATTGGTTTTTGCTTATAGCTATGATGATGAATCCGCGACGGATCTCGAAACTTTAGGCGAATAAAAGTGTCGTCCCAGCGATCGAGCCGACTTCTTCTCAAACATTTGTTTATCTATATAATAATTCTTGTTTTTTCTTTAATTATAAACATGGTCCTGTATTGCATGATGATGGGGCTTCCGCGTGCTAATCAGGGAACCAAAGTGGTATTCTACCCCTTTGCTTTTGGAGTCTGTGTAGAATCTACGATTGGATTAATATTAAGCAAAATATCAAGGAATTTGCGACTAAGGTTTGGTTGATGAGTCCTGTTCGTTTAAGGGTTGGGATTCATTTAATTGTTAGCTCGTTGATTTGGGCTAAAGTTATGGTTCGTTCAGGGTAAGGAGTAGAGTTGGTCGCTCACGAATAGCTAGTTGAGGTAATTTTGCAAGAGCGTGCCCAAGAGCGCTGCCAGTTAATCGCTGATTATTGGTCTACACTGGACTTGCCTCGCCACTTGTGATGCGTGAATTGGCACTCAAGTGACTCAATGAGTTAATCGATTTTTGCGTACCACTGATTACTAATATGCGCCGGATTTGTTGTCAGCGCTAGCAGAGACACACTTCACACAAAGCCCATTCACTCGGCCTTTCGCCCCGGTGCCCGGCGGACGTGAGGCTGCGCCGCTCTCTCTCTCGCTCCTCATGGTCGAACATCCACCCCAGGCCGAGTCAACCCTT